GGAGCCTGGCATTCAATGCCATCTCAACGTCAGACGTATAATATTTGAAGATTTATTATATTTTAATGAACTTCGGGACGAAGTTTCACGTGAGGGGGCAATATGTAGCGGATTGACTAATAAGTTAATTAGTAATAGGCGTTTATTTTGACATATTTAGGAAGTGACATATGATACACTAGATTGGTTATTGTTTTGACGAGATGGCGTTTTTATATATTTTATTAAACGAGGGTTCTTTATAGCGAAGCAAATTCGCTATTGTAAATTACAGATTACATAAAACGAAACTGCGTACGACTCATTTAATTTTGTGTAGTTGCCAAACACTTTGTGAGGCACTCTGCTACATATACAGGAAATGGTTGTTTTTAACTTTTGTTGTTAATTAATAGAGGTCCATGCAAGTGTGGACAAAAGTGTGAGAAACAAATTCTTATTTAGCCGTGTGTAGAGATTCTTGAGCTAAATGAATGTGCCACCTAACCCATCTTTTATTGATCGCGAAGTTGGCAAACAGTAGTTGCGCGAATTCCAGGATTGCTATAACTTCAAGTCTTTCCACCCTATGTATTCTCTGTTCAAAATGAAATGGCCATTGTATATACAGGTTATATAAAAATCGGTATACAAGCGGAGGTTATTTTGTCGCGAATTCCTGGAATGATAATATCAAACACCATGTTTAACTTTACCTTGAGGATCACAGAAAGATACAACTGCTTTCCCTTTGGCTTTTTGGTGTATTATATCTCCATATATCTTTCCACCTCCACTTCTCAGTTCGTTCTCAAAGTACATCTCGATTGCCTCTGTGGTGGTATTCTTAGTGAGTCCAGTTGCTAGGATGCTGTTACACACTGGAGGATTCGAGATCTTTAAAACAGCTCCTTCTAATGGCTTTGCAGTCCGCAACATTTCCTTCATATCTGTAAAAGTTAAAAAATAGCGGTTACAAAAAGAATGCATGCTCATTATTTTAGATATTTAAAATATAATGTTTAAGACAAACTTGATGGTGACGCAAAACTAAACTAAACTTAAGATTATTTTTAATGACCCATTCCGTAGAGACGTCTTTAATTCACGGATGGCCTATCCAACATGGATAAATAATCACTGAAAGTTTAATTAAAGTGCAGTCTTATGAAATGTGAATCAATATTGTTTTAAACATGAATATTTATCAGAGTCAGAATAACCCTTGTAGTTTCCAACATATTTAAAACCTATTTTACACCTATTTTTTCTCTATTTAGCCCTATTTTATTTTTCGCTATTTAGCCTTATTCAAATCCTATTTGAACTAGTAATTGACGGAATCGTGCTATAAAATAGCTTTTAAATAGCTATTTAATTCTTATTGATGACAAACGGGACAGTTAAAATAGTTTTAAATAGCTATTTTTAAACTATTTTTGCTTCTCTTCTTTGGAGCCATTCTTAAAATAGTTATTAAATAGCAAAATAAACAGATCTTAAATAGCTATTTAATTCCTATTTATAGAAAGTTTGTTCAAAATAGCTATAAAATAGCTATTTTTAAACTATGTTTGCTTTTATTGTTAAAATAGTTATTAAATAGCAAAATAAACAAATTTTAAATAGCTATTTAATTCCTATTCATAGGAAGTTGTGGCGAGCTAGTAAATAGTTATTTTTAAACTATGTTTGCTTTTATTTTAGAGCCATTCTTAAATGAATAGTTATTAAGTAGCAAAATAAATAGATCTTAAATACTGTAGCTATTTAATTCGTATTCATAGGAAGTTGTATCGAACTTTGTTCAAAATAGCTATTAAATAGTTATTTTTAAACTGTGTTTACTTTTAATTTTTGAGCTATTGTTAAACTAGCTAATAAATAGCAAAACAATTAGATCTTAAATAGCTATGTTTATTTCCTATTCATAGAGGGGGGGGGGGGGGGGGGGGTGAATAGGAGTATACAAATCCGCCGATCCGCCCAAATTTAAAGCAAAATCCGCGATCCGACAATGGTCTTGTCTAAATTTGATTCCTCTAAATTGCGAGCTAAATTCACAATCCGAGCCAAAATATTAGATAAATCCGCAATGCGCCATATTATCGCAATCCGCTGTGCAATCCGACGATCTCAAAACCTTTTTAACCCCCCCCCCCCCCCCTAAAA